CATTTTATTTTAAATCTTGCCAGAAGATTAACAAAGCCTTTGTGGTTGCTCGACTAGCTAATATTTTCTGCTCAATTAAGATTTAACGTCCAGTTCAATTGTCGATATAAGTCCCATTATTCGTTATTGAGAACAAAAAATCACAGTTTAAAGTGTGGACATCTTTTATATTGACGACCTTACAAATACATATTTACATAAAATATTTGTTATAGATTCGGTGATATTGAAATTGTAGAGCCAGTATTTGAAGATCTTTCAAGATGATAAAACGGTACAATTATGTTAATATATTCCTGACAACGGCTCATTGCTAGACTATTAATCAATTGTATAACTATTGGAATTCAATAGTATTTTAATCAGCAGAATGGTGTAATATATAAGTAAGTAGTTAAAAAGAATAATAATATAATAGATATTTGTTTCTTGTTAAAAAATAAAAATATTGTCATAAAAAATATTTAAAGAATGCCAAAACCAAAAAGAACTACTAAAGAATCCCATATGATTTATAGAAAACGTTTTCGATTAATTTGTTGAAATTATTACATTTATTGCAGCTTTCATTAAAAATTGCAATAGGAAAAACACTTTTATATTAAGTTAAAGGCAATTAAAACAGAGATCAATTATGGAATTTCTAAAATTATTATTAAATCTCAGTCTACATATAATATTGATCACAAACAGCATTTTTTGTGCCAACAATGACTTAGAAATTATTCGTTTACCCAACAATACAGTACCATCAGTCTATAACATTTCTCTGATATTGAATCTAGAAGAAGACTTGTTTACTTTTCACGGTGAATCCAATATTAGAATTGAGATTCGTTATGCATCGTTAAATAATATAAGCTTGCATTCAAAAGAATTAGAATTAAATGAAATAGCGACAACGTTGATTAATAACAACGGTACAGTTTATAAACCAATAAAACATTTCCATGACAATGAAATGGATATCTTGACTCTCAATTTCAAAAATGCATTGTCACCCGGCTATTACACTCTTAGCATGGAATTTGCCGGTATTATACAAGAGAATAGTTTTTTCAGAAGTGGTTTTATGATATTTCCGTATACAAATAAAGGAAAAAATAATATGTAAGAGTAAAACGTTAAAATATTAAAAAGTATAAACTATTGTAGAATATTAAAAATACTCGATGTTGCTAAACATATTTTCGCAATTATACTTAAAAAAGTTTTTCAATATGTAAACATAATTATAATATAAATTATATTTATTAAGTATTAATTAATATTAGAATATGTATATTTTATATGTGTAATGTAATATCGTATTTATTAAGTTTAATATTCAAAATAAAGATATTACATATCAATTCTCTCTTTAAAAAAATTATTATTATATTATTACATAACCATATAAATAATAAATATTCTTAAAATTTTTATATTATCCAACATAAGTGAAAAATTTGTCGTTACTTTAAACATTTTATTAAATTCTAGAATGGTTGCAACGTATTCAGAACCGAAAGGAGCTAGACGAATGTTTCCGTGTTGGGACGAACCCGCGTTAAAAGCCATCTTTAATATTTCTGTAATGCATCATGTGGAATATCTGGCATTATCAAATATGCCTCTAGTACAAAGAAAACTTTTTGAAAATGATATGATGTGTTCGTATTTCGACATTTCTCCAATAATGTCCACTTACCTTGTAGAGATTATCGTAATCCCCATGATTGATTTTCACCATCTTTCCAATGAGAAGGAAACTATCAATGTGTGGTGCAGATCATCTTTGGTATCGCAAATAACATTTGTGTTTAATATTACTGAAATGATCACGCCATTCTTGATCCAATACACCAATAGTTCCGAAAAGATACCGAAAATGGATCACTTTATCATACCAAATTTTCCGGTTAGTGGCATGGAACACTGGGGACTCATCACTTACAAGTAATGTACATATAATTAAAAAGAAATTAATTAAACTATTCAAGTTAGCAAATATTATTCTTAGTATTCAAAATTTAGTAATTTAAAATGTGTGCGTATTTTATTATATATAAAAAATGCATATTTTCATGTTTAGATCTAAATAGTTAATGTTTAATATATTAGGTGGATCCATATATTCGTTCGGTTTTTGTTAGTAGTGAAAATTTTTTCCCAATGAAGATATCTTCTGCGTAAGGTTATTCGCAACTTATTTGAAAGTGAAGAAATTGGACATTTAAACAGCCTATTCAAGGCCAAGTCAATATGATCAATATTTTTTTATATAGAATCCACCATGTTTCGCTACAACTCTTGTAATTTACTTTGAGAGCTTTTCAAAACAATATATATAAAAAAAGATTATTATTTATTAAATATTTTCTAAATTATATAAGATTTAAAAATTCAGATTTAAAAAATAGCCGACGTTAGGATAATGAAATGTGTTCAATTGACAGCTAAAACATTTTGAATATTGTTCAGGATCACAATCCTGATAATTTCATTTGTTAAGGTCAAGGCCACTAGAGGTGGTTCGTCTCTTTTTCATACTTATGTACATAAGAAAATATTCTTATTACACATTAAAAAAATTATATATGTATAAAAAAAATTTACACATTCGAATTATTGGCAAAGAACATAATTACTCAAGATTACATTACATTAAATTATATATTCACAACAGAAACATTTTATATTACGTTCTGTCTTTCAGTGAATCATCAGTTATCTACGATGCTAACAAACATCCAACATATAGGAAAGCAGAATTAGCAGCGATAGTAGCACATAAAATTGCACTTCAATGGTTTGGTAATTTGGTCACACCGTCTTGGTGGTCTTATCATTGGTTAAAAGAGGGACTTGCTTCGTTTTTCCATACGTACATCATCGACAAGGTTATTCAATATTATTATTATATAATCCAAAGTTGCTTATTATTTGATAAAACTTTGAATTACATTTTAATGTAAGATTAAAATGTAATACCAGTATTAAATAAGACATTTCCATCAAATGTATTAAGATATATATAATATAGAATTAAATAGAAGATAGTATGTGCTTTAATTTAGAATTATATTTTAATATTAAACAATTTTAAATAATCTCCAATATATTTAATAGTAATTAAATTAGACATGATTCTTCTTAAAGAATTCGACACAAAAAACTTAATTGAATGTAGGCGCCAGAAAAAATAAAACTGCGAAGTTTTAAAATTGGAAATGACAAACAAACTGGTTTTTTATTTCTAATTCGGAATTTTTTATATTTAATCACATCCCATATCATTTTTTCTTCAGATTTTCAATGATTGGCGGACAATAGATTTTTTTGTGGTTGACAAATTACACTACAACTTTATGGTAGATAAAGGCGAATTGGGCCCTGTCACGTTGGAACTTGATAGTACCTTTGACAGACTGGATCTGCTTCCTTTTGTTTATCATAAAGGTAAGATTATGTAAATATAATTAAACTATATTATCTATTATAGATTTTTTTAATGTATACAGTACAAAGAAAAACAGAAAACAGAAAACTAAACGAACAAATTCTTTTTTTGCACAATATATAGGATGTTGTAAAATTCACGCTCGCGAAGTTTATTTTTGCACAAAAGTATCACGTCATTATTTCGCTGGCGCAAATTTTGAAACATTCTGTTGCATAAGTGTATTACATTGTATATTTTAATATTATATATATTATACTTTAACTATATCAATTATATTGAATGTACTATTGTAGCATCAGTTATATTGCGCATGTTACAAAATACTATTACCGACGAAGTATTTCGAAAGGGTCTTATCATATATTTAGTCAGGCAGTAAGTATGTGTAACAAATGTTTATTATATATTACAATATTCTTACATTTACCATACTTAGTATGATAAATGTAAGAATACCTTTTGTATTTACGATAAAAGTGTACTATTTTATCAGAAACTAATAAAAAATAAAATTAGACACACACTTGAGATATCGCATTACTGTTTAATTATAAACCATACACACTTTACTTTTTAATAATTATAATTTAACTTAAATTAATTTTGAACTATATTGTAAATTTTTGCATTGCATGGTATTTATTGTATATATTACATTGTACATTCATATTCAAAAAGATTCATTAATAGTGATTTTAATCATTTTCCGATATATGATTATAATGTTAACAATCGTTCTTTTATTTAGTGAATATGGATCAACTACTCCGGATGATTTGTGGAACGCTATACAAACTGCTTTAGACGAATCTGATGTCCCACACGAATATTATAGAATAAAGGAAGTAATGGATACATGGATGAATCAAAAGAGTTATCCCGAGGTGAACGTGATGAAAAATTACACTACTGGCGAAATAACAATATCTCAGAAATGTGTTTGTGAGCATGAAACTAATAACAAATGGTGGATACCCATAACATTTGCCACGCAGTCCAATCCGAATTTCTCCAGTGCTGTGCCCAGATATTGGTTGCAACCAGATCAAAATATAACTTTTAAAATTGATCCAAATGATTGGATTATTGTTAATGTACAACAAACTGGTAAAAATGGCTCAATTAATTAATGCTGCTTGATTTATTTTATGTGTTCTATTGTAAAGTTTTACATCGTTCTGCAAAGTTCTAAATTGTTCAAACTTTATACTTACTTTTTTATCTATAAAAATTTAAGAGAGATTTATATGATTACGTTCTCCGAAACTTTAGCCGAATATTAATATAAGTATATGTGTGTGTCTTTGAGTGTGTGTGCGTGCGCATGTGCATGCGCGTGTGTATGTGTGTGTTTGTTACATTTAAGCACAAAAAACAATTATAAATATCTGTATATATGTCTTAATAAATTCAATTAAAAGGTTCTAATAATGTATATATACATACATATGTATATACATATATATATATATATATATATATCTGTAAAATAAATTTAATAATGTACATTTTATATATACATATATATATATAAACATAATGAATAATGTAATAGGATACTATCGTGTAAATTATGATATCAAAAATTGGGAAAAAATTTCAAATTACTTACATTCTGAAGAATTCACGAATATACACGTTCTTAATCGTGCTCAAATTATTGATGATCTTTATGGCTTTGTGGATGGAAGAATAAGTGGATTTTTCTTCATGGATCTTATAAAATATTTACTGCGAGAAGTCGATTATGTGGCATGGTATCCATTTCTGTTTCGAGTTATACCATTGATAAAGAATTATATTTTCCTGCCAGAGGCCACATATGTCAAGGTAGATAACAGAGTTCTCTCTCTCTCTCTCTCTCTCTCTCTCTCTCTCTCTCTTTCTCTCTCTCTCTCTCTCTTTTAAAAGTATATCTGTATATATCTGTAATATTATAGTAGACTCTTTAATTCTTATAGTTCTACATTTATATATTGTTTATATTGTCAATCGAAATATTACGTCGTAAATATGATATCGTAGGTATTATATATTTTACAGAAGAATTTTTTTATTAGAATTTTTTTGTTAATGTAAATATGAATTAATAATGAACCGTAACATTTATAATGCGTTACTTTATAATGCGTTACTTTATAATGATATATCTTAACTTTTTAATAGAAAGAAAAAATACAATCGGTACATTTATAATCATTTTGTAAACGCATAATGCTCATTATAATTAATACACATTGACTGCAATGCTTAATGTACAATATTTTATATATCTTATTGTTTACATATTACATCATAGTGAAATTTAAATCATAATAAATTCACAAAAAAACATACAACGGTATAAAATATCAACTAACATGTTTAAATTATGTATATATAGATATATCGTAATACGTAGTGTATTTCTTTTAGCAGCCATTTTGCAAAAATACGGCCTTTTTTATGGAGAAAAACTTGCTACTTCAAACACATGGTCAGATAAAGTTTCCGTCTTAAATTTGTAAATATCCGTCTTAAAAGAATCATTCTTCAAAAGCTTTTACAGAATTTAGTATATGGAGTATCCCATCTAACACTAAATATTCCTGAAATATTCGTAAAGTGTCCCTCCCAACATTCCAAAGTAACATTCCGAAAGTTTTCCACAAAATATTTACAGAATGTAAAAGCAACTTTCGAATAATTGTTAAATGTTTCATTTATATATATGTCGTTACATATTCAAAACATATTTCATATATATTCTGCAAAAATTGTAATAAAGTCAAAAATTTTAGGCACAGAAATCTTCAAATTTATTTTTACTGAATTGATTTTTCTAATATGTATAGAATAAAAGAATGTATGTGCATATAACATTTTGAACACTTCATGAATGTTTAAACATTCGATAAAAATTTTTTTGGTCTTCCAGCACACATTGGGTATACAAATCGAACATTTCATAAATGCGAATACCAATAATACAAATTTAAAATCAATACATTATTATTTCATGATTTCTAGATAACCATAATGACACTCCTTAGCTATCTTCTTCGAAATATAGGATACTTAGAAAATACTGATGATGATCATATTACAAAACAGATAAGACTAGAAGCCATAAAATGGGCATGTACCATCGATGACAAATTATGTAAGAATATAATCGCTTTTAAATTGAACCAACATCTCGCGGATCCAGAACTTTACAGGTAAGTTTTATACAATTTCAATATCTTATAGTATGAATTTGTGTGTGTGTGTGTGTGTGTGTGTGTGTGCTCGCGCGCGTGGGTGTACGTGAGTGCAAGCAGCATATCGATATAGTCAAATCAAACAGTCTCCTTAATGTTTTTTTCAATCTACATTCTATGTTATTCTAATAACATAATGCATAGAATGGATGACATTGTAAGTAAAAATATCCAATAAATTGTTAAGTGGTTTGCTGATATAATCATTTTTTATTTATTTCTTTATTGTAAAATGATTAACACACAATTATACTTATTATTAAACAAATATTACAATATATAGAATGGAATAGTACTGCAGAACGGAAATTTAATTTTACAATGTAAAGTAACTTAATAAAGCATAGACCATTAATATATGAAACTTGATAAAATAAACAATTATTCATACATATGAAATGTATTATTTATTGATAAACAAATATGTTTTTTAGAATACTACCAGGACATAATTTTATGTATTGTATTGGTTTGATGGCAGCCAATCGAACTACTTGGGATAAAATGTTAGAATTATATCAAAATACAGATTCAAAAAAGGAAAAATTTAAAAAAACGTTGTTGACAAGTTTGAGTTGCTCCGAAAATTCTGATATTATTATCAACTATTTAAATATTACAGCATTTAACACTTCATTATTTCATGAAAAGGAACGTTCTTTTATCATCAAGTCTATTCTTGATAAGCATTCGAACAACAATTTGATCCTTGATTATATATTAAACAATTTTGAAACTGTAAAACCCAAGTAATATCATTTCTCGTTGTAAATATAGTTTTCTCAGTCATAAAGATTTATTAATCATGAATATATTACTTTCTCTCTTTACAGATCCCTTACTACAACTTTAATAATAAAACTTATTCTTCGGAAAGTCTTCTACGATGATCAAATCGATAAGGTATGTTTTATGTTTCTAAAATTACATATTTATTGAATTATCGACTATCAAATCAATAAAGCTAAACTAAAAAGTTGCAGCGCATTTCAAATAAAAACCTGTTGCGATAAATATAAATTATTTCAATTTTATATAAATTATTAAATTAATAATAACATTAATAATTAATTATGTTTGCATTTTTTAATTATTTTTGAAAGATGTCACATAAAATGGAGTAATACCGTGACGCAGGTTTTAAAATCTAATTTGAATTATGTATAAGAAATTATACTTATTATTAAACATCTTTAATTAATACGTTTCAGATAAAAGTATTCTCGGATGCTAATTTTGATCATGATCCAGAAACTCGGAATGCAATTAAAACACTGATACAAAAGCGTGAAAATTTACTTAAGGAAAGCCTAGAGACTTTTAAAAAACGCTTCTTTTAGAAGGGTTCATCAACTTTAATAACCAAACAAAAATATAATACAAAACATACATTTATCTAGCTAAACTTTCTAAAAATATTATTTTTATTTGCCATTCGTGAATAATTTTTTATGTATTTTTAATTATTTGTAATATTTTCCAATGCTGTAATATTTATAGTAATTTCTTAATAGTAATTTCTTAATAGTCTAGAAGCTATACAAATATGTATTATAACAGAATCTGTAATCTTTAATCTTCTGTATATTAAAAAATAATCCATATAATATTATATAATATGAAACGTTCTTTGTCATTTATAAAATATTTTTATAACCAGTGCTCTAGTTATTACATTAAATACATATCAAGCACATATAATTAAATTATTTGTCTTTGTTGATAAAGATATTATACTGTCCAAATATTATTTTTTATATAATAATATTGTTTATACTAACAATAGTACTTAAGCTATATTAATTATATATATATATATATATATTTATGGTATTATTACAATGTATAGTAGTGTCTTGATTTGGAATAAAAGAAATAAATAATAACGTCACCTTGTATTAATAATGAGTTATCTGTAATAAAGTAGCTTTATTCAAATATTAGTTATTATATTATTATATTTAAATTTAAAATATAGAGGAAAACATCCTATTATAAGATGGGCGCCTAATATGAGATAGCGGTGTGTCTGCTAAACTAATAACCGCTATCTATTGGTTCCACCATGAATTTATTGCTCTTGGATTGAAAACTATTTAGTAGAAAATTCATTATTAGATCATACTTACAGTCATTGTAAGTCTTGATTATTATTTAATAAATAAATATTTGGAAATAAATTTTTTATAATGTAATTAGAGTAAGATCGTACTAATAGAAAAATACGGAATATATTGAATTATAGAAGTTAGATTTGATGATCGTAAAACCGTGGAAATTGTAATATGAAATACCCAGGATATTTCTAATATGAAATAACTCATTCTCCCATGTTATAGTGAAAATTGTTGCTAAAGTGTGAATATTATTGTACAATAACAAAAAGGATAACCAGAATGAATGTCAAGTGTCTATTTCTGCGATGCTTGATTTCAATTATTTGAAGACGAGTTCTGGATATAATGTATTGCATACTCATTTTTCGCGCACGTTAACTGTGTTTGTATTTAAGAAACATTAAATAATTTGTATTTAGTAAGTTTGTATTTAAGAGAGAGAGAGAGAAAGAGAGAGAAATAATAAAGTTTTTAGTTTGCAATACTGATATACTTTGCGTTTTATTGTCGATTTCTCATAATAGGAGCACAATTTTTTGACTTTGCGATTTGTTCACTTTCTACATTTCTTTAATTTTTAAAAGATTGAAATTTGAATTAAATTTTATATAACAATTATCTTAAAGCTTACTAAATTTCCTTCAAAATGACCTATTATTTTTTTCAAAATTACTATTATTTTTTTAAATTGTGCCCATAAACTTCTAGCATTTACCCAAAATCAACTCAGTATCTCATATAATAGAGATCTTTCTTTTATATTTAAAGAACACAAATCAAGAGAAAATTAAACTAGATACGTATGTACATCAAAATGATTTTTTGTTACAAAATTTGACTCTCTATTGACTTTAAGTATCAAAGTAAAATTATTTTGTTTGTTTTGATTTTTATTGATTTTAATTGTTTCTTGGAAGCAAAATGCTAATTATTAAATTATGTATATGCATTTTGTTTCATAATACACACTGATATATCATTTTATCTTTATATAATGTTTATTAAATATTAAAGAAGGATAAAACAATTGATATATCATATAAATCGTATACTTGAAACAAAATTCGCTCCTAATTGTAATGTTTCGCCATGTTTATCTAGTTCAAGATTATCAGAAACTTCCTATCAGGAAACAGTTGAAAAGGTCCAGAATATTAATCATGAAACTTTTATAGAATGAAAAGTAAAAGGTAAAAATTTTAATCATTGAAGTTAATGAAGAAATTTTTTACTTTTTACTTTTTATCCTAGGAAAAAAGTTTCATAATTAATATCCAGACTTTTACTTAAATCCGCAGAACAGATTCTTACATAACGCATAATGCATAGTGCATAAGGGAATCAACCAATCGAAATTCTTCTTTTCTATGGAATGGGAGGAAAGGAAAGATTCTGATTAGTTGATTTATTTATGCGTTATGCGTTATGCAAGAGTCTGTGCTGTGACCTGAAAGTCTCTAGACTTTCTAGTGAATCAGGTGATATAATAACGGAATTCTAACCTAACTTAACAAAATTTTGTATAGTTGAAATTGTGATGAAAGTGATTTGTATTTTTCCAAGTTTTTAGTCATAAAAAATGGCTACTGTAAAATTCGGAAAGCACTTGAAAGAGTTGAGGATTCTTCTTTGTCAAACGTCCAAATCTAGTCAAGGCGTTAGGTAAAAAAGTTGTACGACATAGACGGACGTTCTGTCAGCGATCTAATTTTCAGTCTGTTAATTTTTATGTGTAAACCTTGCAGAGATTTCATCGAGCAACAGTATGTACCATTAAAGAAAAATAATCCGAGATTTCCCGTTTTAATCAGGGAATGCTCGTCGATTGAGCCGAAGCTGTATGCGCGTTACGGTATGTAAGAATTTAAAGACACAATATCAGTGATTATGTTTCTTTAGGAAACAAGAATGCTTTCCATTTGATGATACACATCAGCACAAGCGTCTCTATCCTTCTTGACATTCAAAGAGTGACATAGAACAACACTTGGATCGACTTGTGTCAAATGCACCCATAATCGACAAGAACGGCTTTCTATCCTTGACATTCTGTGAATAACAAAATTAGAATGACATTTGTGTCGATTATGTCTCCTAAATAGAAAGCATCTAATATCAACTTGATTACAAATTGTTTACATTTGTTATTTTTTCCAATGTAAATATTGTTTATTTAGTCTAATTCCATTATTCATTCTATATACTGAAAATCCATAATTTACATTATGTATATTATAGATTTTCGATATTTGCAGTGAATAACGGAATGCAACTTTAATTCTCATAAATTATATAATCATAATCCCTGTAAATTACTAATTTTGCAGAATATGGCGTAGAACGTTGTGTCCCTCTATCAAATCTGAAATCCGAAGAGATACTTGGAAGGGTTCAAGAATTGGCATCTCAAAAATAGATATATTTTATTGTGTTAATCTTGTATGTATTATAATATGTATAGTGTTTTAATAAAATAGTTGTATCAAATGAAAGTAGGCATTGACAGGAATCTGTCAGATCTTGTCTGGTAACAAATTTTTTTATTGATATTTATGTATACTGCACGTTAATATATGTATATGAAAGAATGGATTGAACATAAAGATATAAATTAATTTATTAAAAATTTATTAATAAAAGAATTAATTAAAATTTTATTTAGTAAAGAAAAATTGCACAAAGAATTATCTTCTTACAACAAAATATTTACTTTTTCTTTGTATATAATTTTTATATATTAAGCAACTATTTTGTAAAATAAGTGCAATATTTTCTACACTTTAAGGACAAGGGAGAGTTAAAAAATCAAAAATATTATTTTTGCGATGTTTTTTTTTTAAATATTGCGGTGTTAAGTTTTTGATCGATTCAAAGAACTTTGTTAAGCATAAATTTTATTATCATTTTACGATATTAAACTTTGTATTTTATTTTAAATTTTGTTTGAAAAATAAGTCTCTGGGCCCAAATTGCCCGATTAGTTAATACTTTCTGATCGGTTAAGAGTTAACATTCAGTAAATATAATAGATACATAAATATATCTATAATTAGAACTTCATACTATTAAGAAATACATGGCACAAAAAAGATATATATAATTGGAACTTCATCCTATTAATAAACATATGGAAGGGAACGAAGAATTATCTTTTGTATGCGATATGTGCATCCATATGTTTTTGATTTCAGGCAGTGATAATTTCCATATGTTATATGAAAATATATATCTGCAGAACATAATATCTTTTCTTTTTTCAAATCAGATCTATGTACATCAGTCAGATTTTATTAATGCTAATTAATAATTAAAACCTGCCTGCAGGCTTTTTCTGGTTTTCGTCAACAATTATTTGCTTCATTTATAAGAATCTAATATGTTCTAATATTCTCTTTTCCAAACTATATTTTCTTTGTATATAGAAAGATTTAATTATATTTCTATAAATGGCGGTAGGCCGAAGTCTTCTGGCTTGAAGTCTTCCAAACTTTCTAAAACCAATGTTGCGTTTTTGGTGAGGTGTTTAGGAAGCTGAGGATCTGGCACCATTACCACTTGCATCTTAGCAGCGATACCAGCCTGTACTCCATTCGGTGAATCTTCAAAGACTAGGCACTATATACAGATAAATAAATATGATTTGAACTTTGATTTTAAAATGTATATAAAATGTATATAAAATATGTATTGAAAGTATACAACAAACCTTTAAAGGATCAGGATTATCAGGGAAACGTTTTGCGGCAATCAAGAATATATCTGGATGTGGTTTTCCTCGGATGACTTCTGGATCAGAACCACCATACACTTTATGGTTGAACAGATCGAATAAATGTTTCCATTTTTGAGTTTTTAAATCGCTACTCTCCTCGCTTGAACTTGTAGCTAGTGCGATAGGTATATTATTCTTTTTAAGATGCTGCAACAACTTTTCTGCACCTACATATAATTAAAATCAATCAGAATACAATGCTAAATCACTTTCATCTTGTGTGTGTGTATGTGTGTGTATGTGTGTATAATTATATATACATACAATTTACCTGGCATAAGATTACATTGAGGAAATACTTCTTTGTATATAGGCGCGAGCTTATCTTCAAATGATTGCACTGTAATCGGAAGCTGTAATATTTCTATTAAAGTCTGCAAAGCTTCGGCGGTTTTATTACCCATAATCTTCGCTTTGTGCTCCCAGCCATATGTTTTCCCATATTCCTGAG